TTTGACATAGCTCAGCCTTTATACAAATTATTGAAAAAAAAAAAAAACTTTTGTTTTACTACTGATTGTGAACAGGCATGCAATAAAGTGAAAAAAGAATTAAATCGCTACTACTATGTTAATATATTCAACTCTTGGAGAACTACTTCTGTTAGATACAGATGCTAGTAATTTTGCAGTAGAAGCAGTGTTATTGTAAGTGCAACATGGAAAAGAACATATGGTTGCCTACTATAGCAAGGCAATGAATGCTGCAGAAGGAAGTTATTGTACAAATAGAAGAACTATTAAGTTTTTTTTGATAGATTGTTTAGGCAGAGTATTCATGATGTAACTTTGTAGAATGGACGGCAACTGCTTGTTGTAGAGACACAAGTATAGAGGACAACATTGTCCTCTACACTTGTGTCTCTATAGCAAGCAGTTACTGTCCATTCTATAAAGTTTCAACTATTAAGTATTGTTTGAGCCCAAAGTCATTTCTGTCATTACCAATATGGACAAAAATTTACACTCCCAAAAGATCATACAGCACTGAAGTAGGCCAGACAGTAAGATGGTTCCGGAAACTTCTGGAATACAACTTTAATATCAAGCATCACCCTGGGCAGAAACACAGAAATGCTGATACATTATCCCAAAGACTGTGTTTTAATGAAGAATGTAAGCACTGTGAAAAGAGGAAAGCACGAGCTTGTAAAGATGACCAAATTATTGTACAAGAAAGTACAATGACTCTTCTACAGTCACATCTGTAGGACAGTCACTCAGCATGCAGTCTTACACAAAATATGCAAAGAGACTAAGAAAACCATTGATATTGTTGCGTCAGCGAGGTCACGTGACTAGTATCACGCCACCCGTTTTCTAGAAATATCCTGTTCCTTCAAGAATGCCCTAGCATTTACTAGATATGTGTTAGTCTTGTATATATATATAAGACGGTCACAACGTGAAAGGGACAACAGTGTAATGAGAAATTGAATGTATGCGGACAAAATATTGTTGGCCACGTGAGATATAGCGTTT